GGTGTTTGGCTGCATTTTTGAGAGAGAAAAGTCTCTACCAAATAAATTCCAGATTCATAGCTCAGTTGCTGTCTGGAGGGAATTGCTGGGGAACGCTTTGGAAACTTGAATGTAACTCAACCTCTGTCAAGGTGAAAACTTTTAACTTTGCTTGCCAAGGTCACACAGTTCTCCTTCATTGGAGGGCTGCCAGGGTCACCACAAGTGCCGTAGTGCTCACCTCTTAGTAATAGTCATGCCTTTCTCACAAACCATAGATGGTGTCTTCTTCCTTTGGGTCCCATGGTACACCCCATATCTACTTCAAAGAACCTGCAGCTCAACCCAGCCATGACTCATTTGACTGTGTGTATCTTCCCTGAGCCAGAAGCAACTAGGTTCTGGGGAGAGCATCACCTCTGTGAATTCTCAGTGACTAGCATGATGCCTGACACACAGTAGGAATGCACAACTGAACGTTGATTGAGTGAATGAATGTGTGCAGGAGTGAATGCCAGAATCTGACTCATTTTTGCATCCTATGCACAGTGTTTAGATATCCTAAGTGCACATTAGTGTCACATACATCTTTTTTCCAGAGCACGTTAGGAAGCACTTGGCTTCCTAAATTAAGGGAGGAATTGTGATCAGGCCCTTTAGGATCATCAGTAACCATCTACATTTTTGTGAACTTGCTTGTGCTTTGAATTCTCCCTTTTCTTCCTTTTAGAAACTTGGATATTGAATAGAAGAAAGCAGATGCCCCCAATTTGCTACCTCTTCACAAGACCTGGGGGCTTCTGCCATGGATTTACACTGAGCAGCTTTCTTGAGCGTGGCCCAAAGGAGGGGAAACTGAGGAGCAGTGAGGTGACCTTGGAGGAGGCTTTTTATGAGGCAGCAACGGAGTAAACAGCATTAACTCAGCCTGCATTTTGAAGAACAACCAGCTCACATTTCTCCCAGATCCTTGGAGAAATTAAAATTCTCCACAACATCACTGGAAAGTATACCATCCACTCCCAGTCCCTCAACAGATGCTGAACTGCTCATTATGCTGGCAAGTGGCAAAGCAAAAGCAGGAAGATGTTGGGAGACAATGCTATGACAGCATTGTCTCCCAAAACAAAGAAACGCCCTTTATCCATAACCTGTTAGAAGTTGAATCACCAAAATAAACCAGAAGGAAAGTTTTCCCAACAATAACAGAAAGGATCATAACATCAAGGACTCTGTGTTTCTTCACCTGGAAAGAAAAGAAGGGCATAATTAAAGCCTCTTGGCACGCTGTCCCTGCCTCTATGCCGGCATCTAGTACAGGGAGGCATACATGTCTTTGTTTAAGCCTCTGTCCAACTCCTACACTGAGAATAGCTCAGGGAAAGGACCTGACCTCATTCTTCTTTGGATCCCCAGATCCCAGTAGAACACCTGGCACATAGAAACACACAACCTATGTCTGCTCAGGGAATGGCTGATGAGGCAGGGGAGGGGAGTGTGAACGTGGACCTGTCCAGTAAATTCTAGAAGACCTAGGCTTCGATTTTCTCATCAGAACAAAGAATAGGCTGCTTTCCAGTTCTAGCATTCCTTTGTCTTCTGACTCGATGAAGTATTGAATCAGAAAGTATAGTTTTAAGAAGAGTTCAGAAAAATATGTAGATAAGCCATTGATATATGCTAACTGCTATGTTGTTTCACAAAACTTCCTCTTTGACTGGATGGAACACTGGACAGCCTGCAAGTGGCAACTTTCACATTCAAAGTACACATTGTACTAAGATGAAAGGATTCATCGGTACTCCATGGTGTCATCCACAAAGCAAAGCTAGACTCAAGTGGCTTGTCTCCTGGGGAAGAAAACATGTCAAGGTGACTGTGTTCTCTGCTGCCTCCCCAGCACGAGTGTGATTTTTAACTGCACATCCAAGTGAACCCTTTCATCTTGCAAACCATATTCAGAGTCAATAGCTGTCCCCAGGAATGCTTTATTGGAAATGACTGGCAGTAATCATCCTGGGGAGGGAAGGGGAGATAAAAGCTAGTCTGGGGAAGGATGCCATCATCAGAGATTTGGAGCAGCAGGATTGTAATTAGAGGTAGAAAAGGGAGAGGGAAGCTTTGCCTTCTATGTGTGCTCCTTAGAGATCTACAGAAATGACAGGTCTCCAACCCCGAATGCAAAACGAATCCAGGCAGCAATTATAATAAGCCATTAAATGAGCCAGCCTAGCAGAAAAGACACAGAATGCTGTTCACTGGGCTCCCCGTTTAATTCCACCTGAGAAAAATCTCAGAGTGAGTGGGAGTGAAAAGAAGGAATATGGAAGACCCAGTCCTCACATTGTCCCCGAGTATGGGAACAGTTCAGAACCTCAAGACTCTGGGTCATTTGGTGCCACATAAAGTGGCTGGGTCATGTAGCTGGCTGCTTGGTGTTGGGACAGTTTGTCCACCCTCTTCCTGACCCCAAAGCTACCACTTAGATGTTCCTTCTCTTTCATTTCATGATTACAGGGTTTTGCAATTTTCAGCTTTCTCCGCATGATGAACACTCACAAAGAGAGATTCTTACATGGCTCATCCCTCTCTAATTTACAGGTTTTCCCTCAGAATCCACTGACAAAGCAGATGGGGAGATGAGGATATTGATCGTATTATTGACCCAGCCTTTCCGCAGATTCAACTGTGAAGCATGAGATTTCACAGAATAACCAGGCCAAAGAAAGCTGCAGGTAAAGGATAGAACTTTAGACTTTTTTTTGTTTTTCCTGAGATGGAGTCTTGCACTGTCACCCAGGCTGGAGTGCAGTGGTGCGATCTCGGCTCACTGCAAGCTCTGCCTCCCGGGTTCATGCCATTCTCCTGCCTCAGCCTCCCGAGTAGCTGGGACTACAGGCGCCCGCCACCACGCCCAGCTAATTTTTTTTGTATTTTTAGTAGAGATGGGGTTTCACCATGTTAGCCAGGATGGTCTCGATCTCCTGACCTCATGATCCATCCACCTTGGCCCCCCAAAGTGCAGAGACTACAGGCGTGAGCCACCGTGCCTGGCCAGAACTTTAGACATAAGAGATCCATGTTGAGTTGTGATTGGAGGACCAGATGATTCCAGAACCCTTTAGACTCTGTTTGTCAAACCCATCATCTTTGCCCTGTGTTGTATGGATCAAATGAAATGGCGTGTGATACAGTTTGGCTGTGTCCCCATCCAGATCTCAACTTGAATTGTATCACCCAGAATTCCCACGTGCTGTGGGAGGGACCCAGGGAAAGGTAATTGCATCATGGGGGACAAAGAATAGTCTTTCCCGTGCTATTCTCATGATAGTGAATAAGTCTCATGAGATCTAATGGGTTTATCAGGGGGTTTCCCCTTTTGCTTTTTCCTCATTTTCTATTGCTGCTGCCATGTAAGAAGTGCCTTTTGTCTCACGCCGTGATTCTGAGGCCTCCCCAGACATGTGGAACTATAAGTCCAATTAAACGTCTTTTTCTTCCCAGTCTTGGGCATGTCTTTGTCAGCAGCGTGAAAACGGACTAACACAGTGTGCATGAGCATGATCTGTGTACAGCCCTCTATTAATGCCTGTTCAATTACAGCCTTTGCCAGAAAAATGCACATAAAAAGGAATGTCAGTGTCTCAGTTATTTCAGGGAGTCTGATTCTCCTCTTGACAGTAAATGATGCCAGGAGGGAAGAAATGACAGGTGGTAAGAGATGCAGGGCAGGCAAGGGTGCCCTTCCTCTTCTTTGGACAGAGGCATCTCATGACCTTGAAGCCTTTGTAGTGTATCATAAATGTGTGGGCTGCATTCAAGTGAGGCTTTCCAGCAAGGGACTCAGAATTATTTCACAAAGTTTTGCTAATTTCGCTCCCATTTGGAAGAATTACAATGGTCCCGAAATATAATGTGAGCCAGTGGATGCCCATCTCTGGAAATAACATCAGAAACATTTAATTTAAAAGTATCCTCAATGCCTAGGACAGTGTCAGGCACATGGTAGCCTCTGCACATATTTATTTCATAAGTGAATGGTTGAATGATTGAATTTGTTTCTGATGGTTGATTTAACCCTGTCAATTTGATTGAACATGTACTACTCCATTTAGCCAAGTCTGAGGAGGGAAGCTTTAGTCCAGCACAGATGAAACCTACTCCTGACTTTAGATGCCTCTCAGAGACAGAATGGGTTCCTAACCAGAGCACCTGACTGCGCCAACTGTCCCAGAAACTGCGTGGGTCCCAGATTTGCCATGGCAGCTCACACATGGTTCATAAAAAATTTTCTGATGGTAATTCACTGACACAAGAGGAAGAAAGACCTAGTGTACGAATTCAGTAATCAGCCTAGTAATTGATTGAAATCAGTAGAAATCAAACATGTTCTAGAATTTCTGAAAGGTCACTGAAGCCATGTGTAGGTTTATTACAAAGTTGGATTTTTTAAAGATGAAAAGAGAAGGACCCATACACCTTAATTTTGTACCTATAAGCTTGTGGTCTGCATAACATAGATTTAGCCCAGTCTTAGCCTTCTGCATCTAACACTTCCCTAACTATTCATTTTAACTCTATAAGCATGGGTTGAATGATTACCTGGTGCCTGGCCTTGTGTTGGGTGCTCTGAGGGACTCTTTTTATTTTCATTTTTTGAGACAGGATCTTGCTCTATCACACAGGCTGGAGTACAGTGGTGCCATCACAGCTCACTACAGCCTCGACCTCATGGGCTCAATTGATCCTCCCACCTCAACCTCTCAAGTAGCTGGGATTACAGGCACATTCCACCATGCCTGGCTAATTTTCGTAGTTTTTGTAGAGACACGGTTTCACCATGTTGCTCAGGCTGGACTTGAACTCCTGAGCTCAAGTGATCCGCCTGCCTTGGCCTCCCAAAGTGCTGGGATTACAGGTGTGAGCCACCGCGCCTGGTCTGCAATCTTGTTATTGACTTGGGAAAACAAGAAAATTCATCACCAGCTAAGGTATGTAACAACAGCATGTGAGAGGCAGGGTTCAGCTAATCATATTGGTTATGAGTGCAAGAGAACCAGACTTTATTCAGTAAGTACACAAGATTGGGAACAATTAGATGAACCTTCTTGCTCAAAGCAAACGATGCCAGGACATTTATCGAGGGAAGGATTGCCTAGTAGTAGCTATTTAGTGTGATAATGGCGTTTGATAGTTTAGACACAAACACCATTGTCACACTCCACAGCTCTGCTAAGGAAAATCTGCAGCCACGAAGGTGTCAACTTCACCTCCACATTCCACCATTGTCACTGACAATAGGGGAACCTTGTCAGCTCCACATATTGTGACCTGAGCAGAGAAAAGAAGCATCACAGGTGCAAGCATCTTGAGCAATGGGAAGAGCTGAAGACTCACAGATGAAAGGCTTCTGTGTTCTGGAACAGTAGAGTAGCAGTAAAGGGGTCCACTGCCTGTGTTCCACTGCCACCCAACAAACCCCTTCTGCAAAAACGTCCTGTGAAAATGGACAGGAACTCTGTTTGCAAAAATTTTCTAAAATGGCTGAGAGAGAAAGAATCTCTAGAGGGAATAGATTTCCGGAAATAAATATTTAGGGGAAGACCACATTATAAATGAGAATAATCTGACCGAATGAATGAACACTCTCCAACTCTTACCTCCTCACATACTTCTCAATCCATCATCAGTAAATGTGATCAATTCTGCAGTCTAGGAAATTAAAATTATTTTCTATGGGGATACAGCAGTTAGATGTGTTGTGATCTACTCTCCGTGCATCTATTGGATATAAAGGCACCTGGTCTTGCTCAAATGTTCAATCTTCTTGACCACAGTCATTTTCCACCATAGCAGTGGGTGGGAGATGGGGGGAGAGAAGAAAGGGAGGTAGATGGAGAGAGAGGAAATGAGTCCATTTTTAGTTCATGATACTCATTTTCTAGCAAAAAGGGAGCTCCAAATAAATCCCTACAGGATTTACTTGGCTTTCCTGTTAAAAATGGTTTCTAATCGTTATGTGAACTCCTGCCCACCATGGAGAATGAGAGGAAAGAAAGCATTTATCTACTCCTTCTTTTCCTGCAAATGCTGAAAAGGGAGAGTTGGGAGCCAGTTATTTTTTTCCCCAGGATAACTGAGTTGTTAACATCTGACCAGAGCCTTGCTTTAGCCCTAAAACTGACCCATCTTTAACAGCTGAAAATGAACCCTTCTGTATTTTTCAGAAAAAACCATGCACCTTATTCTCATGGATCATGAAATCACCCTCTTCAGGCTGTGATCATCCCCCTGCAAAAGCTGAAAGTCGGTCTGCTCCCAGGGGGTTGGAGTGTTGAAGTTGCCTCTTTTTTTTCTTTCCCCTTTTCACTTTGTGGATTCGTTATCTTCCACTAAGTGACTGATTTCCTTGATTCCTGTCGGTGGCCCTGGCTTTCTTTCATGAAATGTCGTCATTTGCAAGGCAGCAGGACATGCCAGTGGCCTAAATTTAGACATACTCTCTTAGGTGGGACTCGCCTCCTGGGCAGTCTTCCATGACACAGAGAGAATGACTACGAACCCTAGAACTGTTCTAGGTGGCCTCAGTCGCTGCCACAAACTGCTAGCACTCTGGGTGCTGCCCAGCAGTGGATGCAGGTGTGTGGTGGCCCATTTTGTCCTTCCCTTTCCCTACAGCGCCTCTAACGCAGTAGCCAGGCTTGGCCTGCTTAATCTTTGCTGAGGGACCTAGAACAGAAATCCCCACCTCCTGGTCATACCAGGGCTATCGCTGACTATCACAAGAAGCTCTAGAAGTCTCTTAGCTCTGTTGGGAAGAAACAGTGAGAGGTGAACAATGCACTGGTTAAAAGAGTCCCCGGAGGACGCACTTGGAGCGCTCTATCCTGGGCAAGGGCTTGGGTCCATTTCACTTCTCAGGGCTCCATAGCAGCATCTGAGCATCCCCCACTTCTCCATGGGGGCTCTGTTGGCTTTTGGCTTTGAATGATCTGCAAAAGACAGAAAAAGGAAGGAACAGATGGAAGATGAAAAGAGTTGAGGAAGTTAATGCATTACAGGTAAATCTTACCAGCTCCCCACCCCCCAAATCAACCTTTACAGGTAAATCTTACCAACTCCCCCGCCCCAAATCAACCTCGATTTCTATGGCCCAGAAATCTATCTCCAGGAAAATGTCAAAAATTTGTAAAAAGATTTACCTATAAGGTTGCTCACAGTGGCATTGTTTATAAGGGTAAACATTGGAACCAAGCTAAACGTCCAGCTATAGGAGAAGAGTAATATATTTATGATATACCATGATCATTTAAATTGATTCTGTAGAAAAGTCTGGTAGACTTGGAGAGAAATTCAATATATGTTATTGAATTAAAAAGCAGTTTATAAAACAATATACACAGTATGAGTCCCTTTCTGTGAAAAAAAATGCATACATGCCTGAGGCCAAAACACCAGATGCTAACCATGGTTATCTTTCAGTAGAGAAATTATGGTTTCTTTTTATTTTCTCCTTTTGTGTGCATTTGTTAATTTATGATTCATGTGGCACTTTTTAAATGAGAAAAATGAGAATTTAAAAAATGTTAAGCAATTTTCTCTCTGGACTCTCAATACAAATTCCTTCTTGCAAAATACTCTCCTGAAATTGGGAAGGTTGGAGCCCACCCTACTCACAGACAATTTGTCACAAGCCTGAAAAGTTAGTGCTGTGCTGAGTGGCAGGCCTCAGGCTAATTTTTTAGCAAATTGTTAGTGAAATACTTTATTATGCAGTATAATAATTTTACGGTATTATTGCATCTATCACTAAACACATACCGAGTGCCAATCATTTTGTCTTGTGAGCAAATTTTAAACGTTGCTAAAATAGCCATCATCTTTTATTACTCTTTTGTTTCTGCAGAAATGGTTAAACTATCAATTTATAAAGCAGTTTAAACAAGCAAGCAGAAGGCTTCTTTTTAAAAAAAAAAAAAGTCATCCAATAATATATCGCTAGTAAAATAAATTAAAAGTGGTTAATGCCAGGATCCACTTCTGAATACTTTAAAAATTCACATAATCATTTCTCATTTTGCAAATTTTTAATGTTCTAGTATTTTCAAATTTAACAACTGAACTTAAATAGTACGAGCTAATAACAAACAGAAACATTATACACAAGTTGGGATGTATTAACACATTATTTCCTTTGAAAAAATAATGCTTAAGGCAAAGATGTTGGATATTAATCAGGCTGACTTGTCCAAATGCCAGCACAATTTTCCACAGTGTAGAAAAGGCCTTGAGGGATTGTGTTTAGCTTCCCCGGGCCCCTGATCTCATCCACATAAATCTCCCACCATCTCTCTTTATGCCTTACTTCCTGAGATCTCCCTGAGAAAGGCTGAGTGCTAGCCATTCCTGAATGGCTGTCTATTAATCCTGAATTTCTCTTGGAGTCTCAGCTACTCAGGAGTCTTAGGCAGGAGGATCCTTTGAGCCCAGTTGTTTGAGATCCCATTTCTAAAGAAACCACACACACAAAATTTCTGTGCGTTGTCATGTTCCTGCCCTCGTCTTCCCAACCATGATGAAAACTCTAGGCATCTCTAGCTGCTGTGGCCAATTCAGAATGCAGCTTTCCCATTGGACCTGTGAGTATGAAAAACAGGCTAGATTTGGTTTGCTACTCTTTTAATGCCCTGCATTTCTTTTCATAAGTGAGAAAAAAAGCTCATTAAGGAGGAAGCGTTTACAAAGCCAGACCCTCCAGCAAATTCATCACTCTGTACGCATTCTGTATGCCCCACAGCTCCCAGCATGACGTCTTAGATTCACAAGTACCAGGAATGTCGCAACACTCCCTATTCTTTCTCAGGTCAGATCTGGGCACGAGCAGCTTGTCTTTGCTTTAATATGTTGTTCCCAGGGGCTAAGAGCATTCTAGGGCCAACCCCGCTGGGGTTTGGGTGCTTTGGGGACTATGAAGCATCACCTTGCTGCAAACCTAACCCATCAGTACCAAAAAAAAAAAAAAGAAAAAAGATTTCTCAAAAAGTGAAAGATAAATGGAGATGCTTTTTACTCTGAATTCACGTTTACTGCCATTTAAAATAGATGTGTTAAATGCATTCATTTGATTCTTTTAGGCTGTTAGTCTGCATGACAAAGGAAGTCAGTATTATACTTCTGAGTTGTCATTTTGAAAGTGCATGGAAATTTTAAAATAGGGCGTTCTTGTCAACAGGGAGCAAAGCAGCATTTCTTTCCTCACTGAAATCCATCTAGAAGGGAAATCTGGGAAGTTCCCTATTCAGGCACCTATAATTGCCTGTGTTTCTCACCAACCAGTGGGGAAGAAGGAATCACTAGGTACATTTTTGGCCAAGTTGGGGCCTCCATGGACTCCTTTGAAAGAGAATTGCTGAGACTTGGGGATTCCTAAGGAGCTGTTTCATTTCTGCACAGGTGTCCGGCTATTTTTAGTGCTGTCGAGGGAACAATATGACTTGGACAGAGGCATGCCAAAGGAATGACTCTAATGCCGGCATTTTGTGTGAAGGTTTGGTGTTATTGCTCAATCAGGCCATCGTAAAAACAAGAACTGGCTTAATGTCCAGCCACTCCAAGGGCAGAAATAAAAGTCCACACCGTCCCTGAGCCCTCAGCTCCTCCCCAGCCTCATCCTCTCTCCCTCTGCAGGGTGATCATTTCTTTTCCTCCTTAAGCCATTTTGTTATTTTTCTTTAAACGGAAACCATTTGTTACTCTCTCTAAAGGAAGTCTCCAGTTTCCCTCAGGCTTTCTGAAGAATCAGAAAAATTATGGAAGACAAAGTGACGGTGTGTTCAACACCTCCTGCTGCTCAGGTGCTGGGTGGCATCTCTTTCGACACTGGGGTCAGTAGCCTCCCATCATTTCTCAGTCAGCGGCCACCCCAAAGGACAGCCTGATCACTCAGGGGGGTCGGCTGGCGCCCGGGGAGAGCCGCACTTACCCCCAGTCAGCTCCGGTCCTCTCAGTCCAGGGGCCCTCCTGTGACAGGCAGGATGGCGCCTTCTACAGCTTCTGTGGCTTTAGGCTTCTCCCCTCTCCCTTTATGGGATCCAGGGTTTAAAAGTAAACAATTCTTTCTCTTTCTGATAAGTCGCATTATTTATCGATTCAGTGGGGGAGGGAGGGCACGACCTTAGGCCACTAAGTCAGCATCACCTTTGGTCAAACAGACTCAGCAAGATTGGAAAGTCCATTCCTCTGCTGAGTGGGGGCGTGCGGCCAGCAGGCAGCCATGGAGGCCACCGAGGCAGAACAGGCAGGTCACCTGGTGAGTACATCTTCCCCTCAGAACCCCAAGTTCCAACCAGTTTAACGTTCCTCACAGGAAGACTGCCATGTATGACCTGGTCACCTCCCCAGATTTCTAGAGCCAGAAGAGTCACCGGTCACAAGAGCCTACTAAGATCCTTAGCTCGTGCTATGTAGAGCTCTTGACCAATATTTGGAAGCCAATCTCATTCTCCTCTTGAACTGTTCATTTCTGAATGCATGGTTACCATGCATTCCTTTGTTCACGCCAACAATTATGTATGAAGCTCCTCCTTATCTGCTAAGCTCTGGTAATGCCACGGGGACCAAGACAAACAGAGCCCACAGTCAGGCAGTGAAGCAGGCAACATGCGAGCGTTGCTGCTCGGCCTAGCTGTATTCTGTTGTCAGCTATTATTATTGCTTTTTATTTTTTATTTATTTATTTTTTTGACATGGAGTCTCACTCTGTCACCCAGGCTGGAGTGCAGTGGTGCGATCTCGGGTCACTGCAACCTCTGCCTCCCGGGTTCAAGCAATTCTCCTGCCTCAGCCTCCTGAGTAGCTGGGACTACAGGTGCCCACCACGCCCGGCTAATTTTTGTACTTTTAGTAAAGACGGGGTTTCGCCATGTTGGCCAGGCTGGTCCCAAATTCCTGACCTCAGTTGATCTTCCCGCCTTGGCCTCCCAAAGTGCTGGGATTACAGGCATGAGCCACCATGTCCAGCCGTCAGCGACTATTTTTTATGCTCTGATTATTTCTTTTCCTTCTCAGGGTCGTTTTGTTATTTTGTTTTTCTTTCTTTGTTTTCTTTTCTTTTCTTTCTTTCTTTCTTTCTTTCTTTCTTTCTTTCTTTCTTTCTTTCTTTCTTTCTTTCTTTCTTTCTTTCTTTTTCTTTCCTTCTCAATCTCTCTTTCTTTCTCTTTCTCTCTCCTTCCTTCCTTCCTTCCTTCCTTCCCTCCCTCCCTTTCTTTCTTTCTTCTTCTTTTTTTTTTTTTTCCTAAGGCAAGATCTCACTGTCACCCAGGCTGGAGTGCAGTGACGTGATCACAGCTCACTGTAGCCTCGACCTTCTGGACTCAAGTGATCCCCCTGCCTCAGCCTCCCCAGTAGCTAGGACTACAGGTGCCCACACCTGGCTAATTTTTGTACTTTTTTGTAGAGATGAGGTTTCACCACATTGCTATTTTGCTTTCTTATTCTTTAAAAGGAAACTCCTCGTTGCTCTGTCTAGTAAACACAAATGCAACCTGAAGTGAGGTCTGGTCATTCCAGTTGATGATGATCTGAGGAGCTGGGTGGCCTTAATTTCACTAGCAGGTATTGTCATCCTGCTAGTGTCATACTTCCTGTTAGTTGTCCTATTTCTTTTCAGGTAAAAATGAAAAACAAAATATACTAACGGCCTTTTTTTTTTTTCTTGCCGAAGAGCTGAACTCAAGAAATGAGGCCAGGGAGTGGGTACCACTGTTTGTTCCTGGCATGCTCCCTAGGTTCCTGGGCGGACTAAGTTCCTTCAGGTTGCCTATGACCACCCGAGAGATCCTGCACACTTGGTCCTACAGAAGTCAGGGCCCTCCAACAGGGCTGAGGGATGGGCCTCCAGTTCCTATGGGAAAAGCCCAAACAGGGCACCCCGAGGCGAGGAAAACATCCCGAGGGCCGTCTGGAAATCGCCAAAGTCCTGTGCTCCCCAGCGTTAGTAGATCAATATGGTGTCAATGGGATTTTTTTTTTTTTATGGTCGCATTTCTGGCACTGCAGTGTTGGCACTGCCTTTGCAAACTTGCTGTGCAGCTTTTAAGTTGCTTCACCTGATTTCAGCCATCCTGATTCTGAAAAGAAATTCTGAAAAGTGCACAGTACTTTTTTTCAGCCTGGACCCTAGAATAAGACTCTGGGAAAGAAAAAATAAGTGACTTTTCATTTTTTAAGAAATAAAGGTGAGTGCCTTTTTTTTTTTTTTTTTTTTTTAAGAAAACACTGTTGTTTTTTCTCCTTTAAAGTGAAACAGATTCCTCAGGGCTCCCCGTTGTCCTGCCCTTTGAAAGAAAGACATTCTTTCAAAGATAGTCTTTCAAAGACGTTCTTTCAAAGGGCAGGACAAATCCCTTCCACCCCCAGGCCTCGTCCCACATTGTCCGGGTCCCTTTCATCAGCATTTTTGCTGAGATGGTTTTCCCTTCATTTAGAAAACCAGGATGAAGACAGATGTTCAGCTTTCAGATGATTTTCTTTACATTCCCAGCCACGGTACTTGCAAGGATTCTGAATTTCAGAGACAGGATGAATGTTTATCAAACTTCTGGCAAATCACACAGCTCTACCTCAGCTGCCTTTAAAAGTGATTTTTTGGCCAGACACCGTGGCTCACACCTATAATCCTAGCACTTTGGTAGGCCGAGGTGGGCGGATTGATTGAGCTCAGGAGTTTGAGAGCAGCCTGAGCAACACAGCGAGATCCTGTCTCTACAAAAACTACAAAAATTAGCTGGACATGGTGGCATGTACCTGTCGTCCCAGCTACTTGGGAGGCTGAGGCAGGAGGACTGCTTGAGCCTGGGAGGTGGAGGTTACAGTAGGCCGAGATCGTGCCACTGCACTGCAGCCTGGGCACTAGAATAAGACTCTGTCCTGGAAAGAAAAAAAAAGTGACTTTTTATTTTTTAAGAAATAAAGGTGAGTGCCTTTTAAAAAAATAGGGTAGATGTGAGTCTTGGAAGGTTGAAGTTTAACTTAGAAAGTCTAGATCCCTAATGTGTATATTCAGATACAGGCTGCAAAATTGGGCTTCACCAACAGTGAAAACCAAAATCAGGTACCTTTCCAGTAGCTGCAGCTGGAAGCAGGCTCCAATCATTGTGGGAGATTTGCTCCATGATTTTCTCATCTTCCTGCCATGGGCTGCAGACTTCGTCAAATGGAAAAAAAGAAATTGATAATTTCCAATGAAGAATGTCAAACTTTTGCCATGAGGAATGCTGAAGTTTGGGGACTGGGGATCCTGGGTCTCATTCAAGACTCTTTGCCATTTGGATTTTTGCCTTTGGACAAAAATAACTTCATATTTCTGAGGCTTTAGTTTGCTCTCTGTGTAGTAAAGCCGAGAATACTTGCTCGTCATTTGCTCTGAAACCTCAAGTGACACTGGAGATGAATTCATCTTTAATCGTGAATAGCTCAGCTGACTGAGGCAAGAGAGTCCCTTGAGCCCAGGAATTTGACTGCAGCCTGGACAACATAGCGAGGCCACTGTCTCTAAAAATAAGAAAAAAGAAAATAGAAAAAAAAAAGTTGGATATAGAGAAATGACAAAGGGCATGGGCTGTAGGGACTAACTGGTTATTTACTCTACCAATAAAGAGAACAAAGGAGGTTAATCTGCCATGTGCAGGGACCAGGCCAAGCCCAGTGGGGCTGGAGGGAAGCTGGATTGCTGCAGCCTCAGATTTGTTATTAAGAGAATCAAAATCACTTTCAACTCAAGGTCACAAGTCAGGACCCAAGTGAAAATGGAATGTTGACAGCGAGTCCTGGTTTCATCTCTGCATTCACACACGCATCACCTTCTCCCACGAAAGTTCCTCTCTTATGGCCGGAAACACGTCCAGAACACTGGTGGTGCGGAGGGGCAGGGGCTTGATGGCAGCGATCATGGGAAAGAGCCATCACGTGAATAAGCCGCGCCTGCTCTTAGAAGGCAGCTGAAAATAAATTGTGCACATGGTGATATTTCTTCCCTAAACACTTCAGCACACATCCCCAAAGAATTTAGGAGTATTCTACTTAACCTGAGTACCATTATCAGAGCTGAGTTTACAGTAATTCTCTAATAGCACCTACTATTTAGCTTATTTCCTTTTTCTTTGTTTCTTTCCCTTGAGATGGAGTCTCACTCTGTCACCCAGGCTGGAGTGCAGTGGCGCGATCTTAGCTCACTGCAAGCTCCGCCTCCCAGGTTTATGCCATTCTCCTGCCTCAGCCTCCCGAGTAGCTGGGACTACAGGCGCCCGCCACCACACCCGGCTAATTTTTTGTATTTTTTAGTAGAGACGGGATTTCACCATGTTAGCCAGAGTCTGCCCGTCTTGGCCTCCCAAAGTGCTGGGATTACAGGCTTGAGCCACTGCGCCCGGCCATTTTTGTATTTTTTAGTAGAGACAGGGTTTCCCCATGTTGCCCAGCCTGGTCTCGAACTCCTGGCCTCAGGTGATGCACCTGCCTCGGCCTCCCAAAGTGCTGGAATTACAGGTGATTACAGGTGAGCCACCATCCTGGCCCATTTAGCTTAGTTTCAAATTTCCCAATTATGTCCCAATTCTCTTTAATAGCAGTTTGTTTTTTTTTTAAACCTAGGATTTAGTAAAAATTCATGCTTGCATTTGTTTTTTTCTTTCCTCATTTTTTTTAATTGACAAAATTTATCTAGATGCTCTCTGGCATTCTGTCAAATGTTATTTTCTGTCATAGTTTTTCCAGAGATTGGCCACTGCCCTTGGATTTCTAATGAGCAAAGGCCTAGAATGCAGGGCCGTGGACCTTCCACCTCGTCTCTCTCTCTCTCCACGGCCTCCCGCTTCTAAGGATGAGCAAATAATCTCAGAGTGAACCTTCTTTAAACACCAAACAAGAATCTCCAGCGAGTCCTCATTCCTCATTCATTTATTCATTCATTTAAGAACTACTTGTTGGGGGCCACCATGTCTGTGGTGTCTGATATCTATTCTAGATACCGGGTGCACAGCAGCAAAACTAACAAATAAGAAACA